CCGGCGGCCCTGCGAGCCCGGTGCAGCCCAGCGGGGGCTCCTGCCGTGGGAGAGCAGCGCACAGGGGTTGCCTGGGCAGCTGGAGGGCGGAAGCGTGGCCCTAAGAATGAGGGCAGACTTTCCCGTCTTCTCCATTTTCCCTCGCGCTGCCCTGCAAAAACTGCCGGGCTGTGCTTCGGGGCTGCTGGCAGAAACGGCATACTTGCTAAACAGCGGGGTCCAGGTGTTTCTTCAGGGGTTGAGAGATGCTCAGGCTGCGCCGGGGGAGGTTTAGGTTGGCTATTAGGAAAAATTTCTTCACAGAAAGGGTAGTCAAGCATTGGAACAGGCTGCCCAGAGAGGTGGTGGAGTCCCCATCCCTGGGAGTGTTCAAAAAACGGGTAGACGTGGCACTTCGGGACATGGTTTAGTCTAGTCTACCCTTGATTGGTTTAGTGTGGACTTGGTAGTGTAGATTAATGGTTGGACTGGATGATCTTAAAGGTCTTTTCCAACCTAAACGATTCTATGATTCTATGCTTGAGTCCAGCTCTGGCAGCAGGAAGTAATAAGGCAGATGCGGGAGCATGCTTTTTATTATTAGGTCTGAAATTTATCGCAAAGCTTTTCTTCATCTCAGGCTGAGATGCTGTCATCTTCTTGCCCTTAAAATGGAGAAAGAGCTTTACAAGGCTTTGGTGTCACTGATCTGGCAAAAGAGCCTGCTTGCTTGGAGCTCCTTGCAGAATTGCGAGCCTCCGTAATTAAAGATTTTTAGGAAGGAATTGCATTTTTCCAGCCAAATATACTATTACATATTGTGTAAACTTATGCTGTGCGTAAACTTAGCATTAGTTTTTGTCGTGGTTTATCCCCAGCCAGCAACTCAGCACCACGCAGCCGCTCGCTCACTCCCCCTACCCCGATGGGATGGGGGAGAGAATCGGAGGAGTAAGAGTGAAGAAACACTCCTGGGTTGAGATAAGAACAGTTTAATAGTTGAAATAAAGTAAAATAGTAATGATAATAGTAACAGTATAATAATAATAATAATAATGATATAGAAAGCAAGTGATGCACAATGCAATTGCTCACCACCCACCGACCGATACCCAGACAGTTCCCGAGCAGCGATCGCTGGTCCCCAGCCAACCCCCCTAGTTTATATACTGAGCATGACATCATATGGTATGGAATAGCCCTTTGGGCAGTTTGGATCAACTCTTCTGGCTGTGTCCCCTCCCAGTTTCTTGTGCACCTGGCAGAGCATGGGAAGCTGCAAAGTCCTTGACTAGCATAAGCAGTACTCAGCAACAACTAAAAACATCAGCGTGTTATCAACATTCTTCTCCTACTAAATCCAAAACACAGCACTATGCCTGCTACTAGGAAGAAAAATAACTCTATCCCAGCCGAAACCAGGACAGTTGTGCTCAGTTGAGCACATACTGGTGCTCAGCTTCCTCTTGTGTTCTAGCTGTATCTGAAACATAGAGTAAAAACGTCTCTACCTAGATAATGTTAAAATAGAACACTACAATTTTAATGTTTGCTTATGAGACATAATTGTTTCAAGTTTTACATTTTTTACCTTTATTAATCTGTAGATAATGAATGTGGATTAGAAGGGATATGTCCTTACTGCTTCCAGTTCCTGGTTCCTGATAGCTACCGGGTGCGTCTCAAACCAAAGATGAAAGTGACTCCACAGATAGAGAAAATTCTTAAACGAGAGGCGAAGAACCATAAACTTAATATGAAACAGACAAAGCTTTTGAAAAAATACAGGGAGTCGAGAAGCGTTCTGGTAAGGATATTTACTTGGAACTGCCAAATGCCTGATATTTCCCTGAAACCTTTCAGTGGCATAAAAAAGAAAATATGGAAATCTTTCTCTTAGAAGCAGAGCTCACACCTACACGTTTCTTTTTTTCGTGAGCCTGTAACTCTTCCTTTCTTTTGGGATAACTTCTATTCACAATCAAAATTTTTAAAATCTACCCTCCACAACAGAGAGATCTTGAGCACAATGAGAAGAGCAGTGATCTTTCCCCCCCAAAAAAAACCCCAACCCTACGTGTCAGAGAAGCTACACAAACAGCTCTGCCCTCCCTGTGATCTCTTTAGTGGCAGTCTGGGTAGACTCTGCGGATGTCTAAGATCTTGCTGAAAATTAAGTATTTTCTTCCTGACAGGAAGCTCTGGCATTTCTGCTGTCAGCTACTGTATCATTTGCATAGCTTTGCAAAAATGGCAGGACTGGCAGATTTTTGCCTGTTCCTTTTTGCCTGTGAATGTGGTAGAATTAGGACCAGGCAACTCTACTGGATGCAGAACCTTAATACAGCCATGTAGAACCTAAAATTCATTAGAATCCTTAGAAATCCATTGCTAAGAATACCCCAAAACATACCTAAGAAGAAAAACATGCCACTGACTGAAGTCAGGCTGGTTTTGCCGGTATGCATAGCTTCACATTTGCTGCCTTTGTTTCAGCTGTGAAGAAGGGCTTGAGTGACTGATAGATTGTCAGTTTTTTCAGTTTTATCAGTTGTCTAAAAATACATTTACAACTTAAAACCTTTACTTCATTTACTTCAGTAGACCATCATGGCTACATCAGATTATTGTTACCTTCTGTACAAACCTAAATTTTTACATTTGTCTGAATATTACTGTTTATAGGAAGTCTTTCAAAACTAAACCACGTAGGTAATTTAAACAAGTTAATGTTGCTTTTGGGGCTTCAGTTCTTTCTCCTAAAATTACTCAGGAGTTTAAGATTTAATCACTTTTTTTTAATAGTAATTACTATTACTTGAAGAATAATAGTATACATTTAATCTAGTGTTGCCAAGTCATGCACTACTATTAAAACAGGTTATGTGAATGGTTGTTTTAATAAATGAGACAGCACCATACTGTGCCTAGCAGTTGCTGGCACACTTGGCATTTTCTCAGATGAGAGTCTGCTGGTTTGGGGAGTAAAATTTGCAAAACCAAAAATTATTAAAGAGTCGGTAGCACAAAATTAAACTGAGGAAATATGACAGAGGTTCTCAGCTGTCAGGGTAAAAAAAGGCGCTCCAGAAAGGCACCCTTGCTATTACTCTTTCCGAATCATAGATCATAGTTGAGCAGCAGAAAGGGCATCTGAGAAGCTGGAATCTTTGCTTTATTTTTCTGGGATCACAAACCTTTAGTGTACATTAAGATCTGTCTCTTTAGACAACTGATGAACAGTGTCCTGCGGAATTATGATGGGTTCTTAGATTTATTCTGTAGCTGAAGAGGTTTGTAGGATGCACTGTGCATTCATATGAGTAGTTTAAAATTCCATTTTAAATAGGTCCAGTTTAAACTCTGGGTAATATTCTAATCTTGGGAAGTAATTACAGTTTGCTGCAGTTGTGTTCTGCTCAGTTCTGTTTGCATTTGTGCTGTGGATTATGATTTAAGTATTTAAAATACTGTCAGCAACTGACAGCTTTCAAAATTAGCAATGTAGATCCCTATAATCTAATACCTGAGACTTGGGAAAATGAAAATTCGAGTGTGGTTGAAAATTAAACCAAGCAACAATATGACAGGTTGTGCCTCTGATACCTTTCTTAGCAAGTAGAACTTGATTTGAGAATGCTTCTGCCATGAAAAGGCATATGACGTAATGAACTATTTCAGGGCTTTTAAAATTTTTGGAGTTAACTGTATTTGCAATTCAGGGAATGGAAACTAGCTGTGCAGTGCTATGATTAATCCACTAATTCCTGCACTGTAAGGTGTTCAACTCCGTGTATATTCCATGGAGTGCTAAATCATCATGTGATGCTGGTTTTTTTTTCCCCATCTGAATTTCTTTTAGAAGAACTAAAAATACACCAATACCTGAGCTGTGTAAGTTAATGATCTTTCTTTTTTAGTTTGTTAGGCTGACAAAATAATGTCTAGAGACACTCAAAGCACTTAACTGAAAGTGTTTCATTTCGGCATTTCTAAATGTAATTCTTTCCAAGCAACGTGAATTTAGGTAAATTTACGCACTTTGAAATGAAGAATGGTTTGGTATAGATGTTTTCAAAATGGCTTAGACATTTTTGTGACATTCTTTTGAGTATGTTTTTTAACCGGAAACATCACGAAACTGTGGTTTTTCAGTCAGTGTAATTGTGTGCCTCAAAAAGTTGCCTGGCTGGATTACTCTCATGTCTCTTAATCAGAGTAGTTGCCATGGCAGTCGGGGATATTAGGAATATCTGACAGTCTCTGTGACTGTCTGACATTATCTGTTGTGATGCACCTCTGCAACATACTGTGCTGCTGGAAGTTCCCTGCAGCCTAGAAGTAAACAGAAGAGAAAGTGCCCTTTGTTTAGGACCTACTCTGTATTGTAGTAGGTATTTTTACACTAATAGAAAGCCTCTTCTTTGTTCACTAAGACTTGCTGTTATTAGTTATGGATGACTATTTTTGACAGTTTGGTAATTTAAACGTTTTATCTCAAGACTCCCTGGAAAGTGTATGAGAGAACTTCGTCGGGGGTAGAATATGCTAATGAATTTAGATCACACGGTATGTCATGTTTTTTAGCAAAATATGAATACCCCTTATGTATACTTGAGATATAAAATATATATATATATCTCCAGTTCAGGTGCTGTTTCATCTCTCTTGTTTTGACAGGGTTGTTTTCCATATTTCACTGTACAACGTTACATTCAGAGTTACAGGTCTCCTGAAATTAGTTGCCAGGGGACTGGAGACATTTCTGGATAAACCCAGATGTGCTTGGCTGTGCTTGGATGTGCTTGGCTTAAGAAGCCTGAATAAAAATACTGGGTGTAAAGTATACATTGCTTTCTAATATCTCATGTCTCACTTAAGCAAATGTTTAATTTGTGTCGTGATATTTGGAGAACAGTTTGGATAATTCTTAAAATGGCTTTATAACATAAAGGTGGAAAGACTGAAAGAATGGTTGATACTTCCTTTCTTCTCTCTGTAGCTGGTTACTTGCAGCTCGTGCAACAAAACAACAAGACATTATGGTAAAAGCAGGGATTTTCTGGCTACCAAGACACACAGTTCTGGCACTCCAAGTATTAAATCTAGCCTGAGGACACCAGATGTAAAAATTCAGTCTGCAAACAAAGTGACACCTGTAAGCTGCAAGAAGTTGGGATCTAAAGGGAACAGTCCTTCATCGCTTTCCAGGTACCGAGAGGCACTTTGCTGAGTAGAGTGTATTACGTCTTATTGGGACAGGGCATCATGTACTGATTTCAGATCAGTCACTTAATAAATTTAAATTGATAACTTAAGTATTTTTCTTTAGTGGTCAGATTGAGGAGATCAATTTTAACTTTCCAACCTGTAAAATCAAAGATTCTAATGAAGAGCGACTATGTGCAAAGAATGCACGATGATGTTTTTGTCATGCATGTGAAATGTCTGGCTTAAAATTTGCATAAGTTATACTTCTGACTGCTCACACTATTTACATGCAAAATTTTTCACTCAAATTATATGTTTGCACTTTCGTAGTTACCTTATGTTAATTCTGCTTTCTCACCTTTAAGACATTTGAGTCTTTTGTTTTTCAGAACATGTGTATCCAGACAGGCGACAACCAGCTCTGCTTCCAAGACTCCACGAAACTCCAAGTTTCACTTTTCTAAGCTAAAACGGATGCTTGACCTACAAGAAAAAGAGAAAAGCCAGAAGGCGGATTTGCAAACCTTCTTGAGTTTACTTTAGCGATACAAGTTTACTTTAGTGATACATTATTTCAAAGTAATAAAGGTTACAGCAATAAGTATTGTTCCAGTTTTAGTAAACCAACGAAGTGATTTCTTTAAAACTCTAGCTAACAGCATGTACCCTGTGAAAGCGTAGACCATATTTTTTAGAAGCAAGCTCTGTTTCTAAGGGGACTGATTATCTGCAAGAGGGAGAGAGAAAATAGCCAGTCTAATATACTTGGGAATCTTGAACATGTTTTGCGGTCTCTAATGGCCAAGAATTAAAAGCCAGGATCTATCCTTTGAGGAAGCTGACAATACTGGATCCATTAGTGGGTCCAGCAGGACCAACAGGTAAGTTGGCAGACCTGAAGGCAATTTGGGGGTGGGGAGGCTGCAGTTTGCTCCACCTCACTCTCCTACTATTATTAAGATAATGCCTCACAACAGAATTTAAAAGATCTCATCCCTGCTTTGCATGTTTGAGTAAAACAAAGACACTTTGACCTGCACTTTCTGCAGGTATGGTATTTTCAAGGGTCTAGTGTAGTGTCACTGTCTTTTGATACCTGTGGTAATTTAACAGCCTTTAACACAGCCTTTACAAAGGCTCCAAAATAACTTAGTCTTTAAGACAGCACTCGTATACAAAGAGGGAGAAAACAGCATATCATCAGATTAAGTTTTTTCATTTTCTTGACGGTGTCATCTGTGATTTGGACTGCAGATGATACTGGATAACGCAGAACCTTGTAAAACTGCACTCTAACATGGGATGCTCTCAATAGCGACCGACAGCTCCACGCTAGACTACTATTGGCACCCTGATTTGTTACTGCTATGAGAGTGGCGCAGCCATAAAGAATACGGGATGTGCTTCCTTTCCAGTTGCTCTGGTGCTACCAAAATGGGTCACTTTTGTCTCCTTCAGAAATGACTAAGGAGAGAACCTCTTTCTTAAACGTCTGTTGGTTTTATCAGGCTTCAGAGTTGTTTCCTTCCTGGACTTGGATCTGGAAAACTAGGTTTGCCGTGGACAGTAGTCAGCTCATTGCACCAAAACGTGATGTGAATAGATGATTGTCAAGGTTAAAATGGTCTTCGCTGTCAGATTTTACATTTTCAATTTGGCACAGAGGTGAGAAAGGACAGTAGAAAGTCACCGTTCAGGACTGAGTTTATAGCCTGCCCTGTGTGTAGTCTGCAGTGACAGTTCTGCAAATCATACTTCAGATTTCCCCTCTGAAAATAGAATCCATCAGTTAAAAACATTGAAATTCTTGGGTTTAAAGGTCTGTATTTTCCTTTTTTTTTTTTTTTTTTTTTTTGGTGTTCTAAAGGATAGTTTCCTTTAAGTGGACTCAGACTCAGACAACACTGTTTAAGAAATAGGATCAGCAAATAAGTTGGCAGACTTGAAAGCAATCCAGGGCAGGGGAGAATAGTTTGTTGCAAATTCTACTTGGCGGTCTCAAAGATTGGCATGTAACCTTTTTATATCTCCTATACGCTTGCACAATAACTTCGAAAGGTTCACTGCTGTTTGTTTCTTACGTACGTGTATGATCAAATTAACTGTCATTCTTTGATCAAAACACAGACCTTGGAGTTATGCCTTTTCCAATGTAGAACTTGGCATTAACTCACCTGTTGTTGCTGTATTTATGATCCAGTCCTCTGGAAAAATACTTCAATCTTGTTGATGGAAAAATGTGCATTATACAAAAGTTTTGAAAAACAAGTTTTGCAATAAATTTTTATACTAAAAGTATACACATTAGGTACTCTACTGCTGTGCTTCCTGTGCCGCTTACATGAAACCAGCATGGGCACCTGCTATGTTTTAAGATGCACCAGCATGAACGTGTTAGATCAAAGAGTACGCTTGTCAAGCACATCTCCCAATTGTCCCTGTTTACTGTGTTTTTTACGCAATACTGAGTGGTTTCAGAGTACATGAGTCACATGCCTTTTGGATAAAACTACAGATAATGGATAAAAGACACGATCTGGGGCACAACCAGTGTGCTGTGAATGCTAATGGGCAGTCTATCCACGGGATCACAGGAGAGCTAGCCTGAAGTACACAACTCCAAAATGTATTGTGGACGCCAGGCACCAAGCTTCAGGTATTCTGCACGCCAGGTGTGCTACTACTGCAATGCACTATTTGTTAATGTAGACAGTCTTGTGCTCCAAACAGTATCTTTTTCTTTGTAATTACCAGAGGTGTCAGATGCATCCAGATGTGTTGTTACAAGGGATCACTATTGCAAGCTATCAGACTTTACTGTGGGGAAAAACAGGAAAAAAAAAAAAAATTCATTCAGTATATGCCATTCCTTGGTTTACATGTGTGCTTCAAAATGCCGGGCAGAAATAGCGTTGGTATTTTCCTATCTGAAGTGCTCTAGTGTTATTCCTAAGCCTCTAATACAGGCTTTTTCTGTTACTGGACTTTCACAGAATCAATGAAAGAATTGAAACCCATGTATATATGTGTGTGTGTGTGTGTGTGTGTATATACATACCTATCTGTATAGATATGAGGTATATTGGTCTATACATACATATACATACATCAGATGCGTGTGTATATATATATATATACATACACAGAGATACACACACACACACACGCATCTGATGCCCTCTTCTCTTCAGAATGTATTACATTCCTGTACTTGACAAAAGACTGAAGGTTAATTGTTGGCTGCTGAGCCTCCCCACCAGACCTCTGCCGTGCAGCGTTACTGGTTTGTGTCTGAAGAGCTGGAGGAACAAGTCTTTATAGAGAGGAAACGGCCTCACTGATTTCCGGGAGGCCAGAATTTCACCCAGACTTTGTAAAGCAAGCCCAAGAAGGTTCTCTGTTAAGCATACACCCCTGCGTACTGGTATTTCATGATAGAGTGGGAGTTATTCCCCAGCTCATACAAATCCTACTTACGCAATGGTCCGTCTATCATTGACAGTAATAGCATTCACACCATATATTGAAAATGTTACAAACTGGGTCTTAATATAACCAGCTCAACTAAACCATGTTGTATTTTGAAGCATCAGTTTGAGCCACTTTCCCATGTATTGGGGAGTACTGGGAACCTCAAGCTGGCGTATTACAACGGGTTCCCTCACACCCAGCCCCGCCTCTGAAGAAACAGAAACTTTGGCCAAACTAGATGGTATATGAACAATATTTCTTTTATGAAGTTTACAGTTCTAGAGATATGACCTCAGGCTTTTTAATGCACTGCTTCCTCACTGAAAATTGTCACACAAAATACAAATACAGAGAGTAATAAACTTCAAAATTAGTGTCGACCATTTCCCCAGCATCACTGTGAGATCTTGCTTGACTTGTAAGTATAGGGAGCAGTTTACTTTGAAGCCATTTCTTTCACACCCTGAGATTGAGTAGGCAAGCAATAAACAATGATTTCAAAGATGTTTTTACAACAATGTTTTATTCTATTAAATATGAAAGAGTGTACATACAGGTGTTATTCTGAGGACATAAATTACACAAGGATTACACGTTCTGTCAGAAAAGCACAATAATGAAACATCTTTACATTTCAAACTTTTCTTGTTAGCTTTTAACAAATGAGTCTATTTCTGTTGCAAACAAGTAACGAGTGCTATTGAACTTTTGCAAATTCCCACAAAAACATCATGCTTAGTAGGATACCTTAAATATTGTAAAGATGAAATCAGATTTCTAAATAACAAGATGGAAGAGATTTACTACTTAATCAAGATAAATGACACACTGAAATAGGAGCAGAGACAAAATTGGTCATTCATTTAAAAAAAAAAATATTCCACTTCAGACACTACATTTGAGTCTGCTTTCTTTACTTGCAGGAATAGTCACTGTGATTATATGCATGAGTAATGAGCAGAACTGGCCCTAAATATTTATAAATGCAACTGTCAAATTGTAGATGCGCTGGTTTTCTAGTTCACTAATTTTTCCACTGAAAAAAACCCCCACACCCATGAATCTACTTGCTTACATTTCAAAAGGCTGAAATCCAGCTCTTCTGTAGAGGGCCAGTGAAGCCTATGTATGACTTCCATGTCTTCCACGGTCACCTGCATGGGGGGCTACTGCCTCCTACCTATGTATTTTGGGTCATCACTGAAGTACCAGACTGAGTTACCACTGACTTGTGAGAGCAGTATTGGTCTGTGGAAGTCCTAACACGTTGTCTTTTTATACTTCAGGTAAACAGGAATGTAATTTTATCATAATGAAAGCTCTCAGTTTGACATTCAGAAGACTACTCAGATAAAATACATAATAAGCATGTAGTTTGGGTTGTGTTGCTAGGGATTAACTGAGGTGTTTTAATATATTAATACAAACATCAACAGAGTGAAACAGACAAGCTAATGTTACTGCAGGCTGCAGTTTAACTTTCAAAAGGAGTAATGAAACACAGTTTCTAAGAATGGTAATTTTTGTATCTAAGGATTTCACATTTATTTATAAAACCACAGCAGTGGCATAATATTCCTGATAACTTTCAAAACATTCTGCAAAAACACAGCTTGAGCCTGCACACACTAGAATATACAAGCAGTCCCAGTGACCTCCAAGGTAAGCATTCTCACATGGCAAAGAGCGGCAGGAATCTCTGCGCTTTTTTCCGAGAATGCTCAATAAAAGTGCAATATAGTGAAGCAAATAATCTAATTGTTATGCTTTTATTATTAGATGAAAAATGTTCAGATATTTTATAATTGTGCCTTTTGTAGGCTGGGCATTCTGGTTTGAGTAGAGTCAGACCACGTTAGAAGAGACGGGCAGGGTACACCCACACATTTTCTTCCCCGGGGTGGTAACGCCCCAAAGCAGTTCTATTGTATAATCCCATCTACAGCTAAAACATTGCGCTGCCGAGTTTCACACTGTTATTTGTTTTGACAAGAGTTGACATTTGTTTTGCTTTTCATTCCCACCCGGGGAAGTTCCCTCTTTCAGCTCCTCGGCACCCTTCTTTTCCCCACCCAGCCTCTTTTCTTCCTGAGATGTCAGAAGTACTTATGTTAAGCTTTGGAACCTGAGAATTTGGAGGTATTTTTTGATACTACAGGGCTGCATTTGTATGGTACCATGTTATCTCCTGCTATACTATTACAGTTACAATATAAATCTTCTAACTAGTTGATACCTGATGCCTTTCCCACATAAATAAAAAACAACGCACCATTCAGCCACTAATATATGACACTTGCTATAAGAGTGACTTTTACCTTCCGCAAGTCCTCATTTCCAAACAAATGTTGAGGGATCATTTCCAAAAACCCAGCTACAAAATATTCCTTGAAGTAAACAATTTCACAGTAAAATAAAGAAAAATATATAAAAAAAATAGCACTCTCTCAAAATTAAAACTTACATACATCCAGAAGAAGTTAAGATCTTTCCTCATTCTTTTATGAGTTCTACATTATCTGTAGATAAGCAACATTATCATTAAGAGTTATGAATAGGAAAAACAAGTCTAGTGAAGTAAGTGTTGTGTCTTTTTTAATACGCTTGAGAGATCAAGGAAAGTGAGCATTCAACTTTATTATTACAATTATTTTTAATTAAGGTAGCAAAAGACTGTTTAAGCTTAATTCCCTATGGTTTTGAGTACCCAAGACTTAGATCCTTCAACGCACTCTAAACAAGCCATGCCACTGCACTTATAATCACCTCTGGGTACAAATTAAGTTTTCCATGGATTGGGATTCAGCCGTGAATTCACTGTTTATCCTCCTTGTTTTATGATTTATTTTATAATTCTTAATAGATTAAGCTGGTTTAATATTTATCACAATTTTGGTGCTATTCTTTAGCAAGACTGAGCTTTAACTGCAACTGTAATGCACATACATGTATGTAAGAATTTATGAGCTGAGTTTAACATACTAGAACAGGAATATTTAAAACATTAAAATTGTACCTGAACATTAATTTTCTTATTAAGAATCTATGCCGAAAAGATGCCAGTAAGTGTTATTTAATTTTGCATATTAGACTTAAACTAAAGAAACACTCCTCTGGATTCCTTACAGTTAGCTCTTTTTTCCTGTGGCGTGGAAAATTGCCACTCAAAACTTACCAATCTTTGGACAGCTACTGAGCTCTGATGAACTATTTTCAGCATCCCTACCTGTCAGTCAGAATTTTTGATTAAATTAGTATTCTACATTGCATGCTATGGAATGCTATGTCAACAGCTGGTGTTTTTTATCTTTTGGGTTTTTTTCCCTACTTAACTGAGGTCTAGTTCATGGCAACTTCCATGAGAAAAGACCAAGGTGCTTATGTCCAAGTGTATCTATTTTAAAAAGAAAGATTATTCTCCATTCATACCCAACAAATATTCTAGTGATTAGCCCTGTAGAAGTCAATAAGAAGTGACAGGTCACTATCTTCAACAATTTCACTCCAGGACTATTTTGAATTGTTGTGGTTTTTGAAAAGGAAGAACAGATTTTTCTAAAAAAATTTGCTTGCATGTGAGGAGTATTAAACTTGTAAACTGTGAACTTAACTGACACAAACCAATGCCTGACAAGTGCAAACCCATGAACAAAATGCAATCATTAAATCCTCTGATGATTCATCCAACTCAAACACTTGCAGCCCGGGTTTTTAAGGTTATCTAAATGCCAGAGGTACAGGTAGGCATGTTTTAAATCACTACTCAACAATTATGTGCCTAACTCTGATTGACTGAAAAGCCTAAACTTTCTGGCAATCTGCTAGATGCCTGTCTGTATCTTTAAGTTTTTAAGTGAACTTAAACGCTGGTGCATAGTATGGCAACAAGGACTTTTCACAAATTCAGCTACCTGTAGACAAATACTGCATTTGTGCCATGCAAAGGGCTTTTTTAAAAACAGACACTCGGCAATAATTTTCCACTGTTTGACTTATACCCAGGCCTGAACTGTCTCCTCCTGTTCTGTGAGAAAAGAAGATAAAGATCTAGAAATGTCTGCTGGTGCCGGTGGAGGTGGGGGGTTGGAAGCCCATGCTGGCCTCTGGGGTTTCTCAGTGGAAGAGGATGTACAGCATGGCTCTGTCATCATGTTGCTGCACGTATGGATGGTACATAGCATTGTCAAATTTTAATAATAGGCATTTAACAATTGGGACAGTTTAGAGAATGACCTTTCAATTTAATTAAAGCTGTAAAATGGCTTCACATTTCTGGGATTAACCTTTTTAGATGGAGACGGGTGTTCCAGAAAGGGATTAGAGTACAAATGAATGGTCCCTCAATTTAGAAACTAAGCAGCTGTAAAAAGAAAGTTACAATTTTGACACATAATTAAACTGGTCGATTGTATCATTTTTTATGCTGACTTTTAAATGATACTAAAATATTGCAGTATTTTGAGTCATTTAAAGATGTGCTCAGTATAACATGATTTACGTTTTCCAATACAAAATTGGTTACTAACATTTACTTCAAAAAAAACCACCTGGCTTGTTTTGGGAGTGGGTAATTTAAATGTAATGGACAGTAAGATCACTTTTAACTTTGCATTAAATTGCATCAACCTCTTGCAAACATAAGCTCATGATTTCCATATTTCACTTCCTCACTAGCAACTGAAATGTCTCGAGTTAGAAGTATGTGTTGATTATATTGATCTACATTAAATACAGGGTACATAAGAAAAATCTTAGCATGTTCTTTTACCAGGCACCCAACTAAAATCTTTACAAAAGATAAGATAATTATCCATTCTTCAATGTAATAGACACAGATGCCACTTTTATAAATGTACCCTTATGTTCACTTGCCAATAAAATAGTAAACAAATCAACTTTTTAAACCATTTTTTATAAATTATTAGAGTATTTTTACTGACACTCTCCAACAATATACAAAAATAATACTACAAGAGTACCAATCAGTCTGACCTACCCCTCATTTCACAGAAAAGTAGAGGTTATGGAAGGATGTTCTTGTAATCAATCATCACTGTAGATGTCTCCTGCAAACGGTAGGTGTACGTGGCTGCCCGTGACGTTGGGAAGTCGAGAGAGATCAGGCAGGTTCTGGATACGTGACCTGAGTTCTTTCCGTACTTGGGACACTCTGGCTAGCTTGCGTTTGTACTCCTGCAATGCAGAAGAACTCAACATGAGGCTCTTAGCTAATACCATCCCTACTACTTACTGCACTTGACGTTTTCCAAATAAAGTATTCCTTCTATAAGTTACAGGACAAAACATCCTTTAACAGGTAACAACACAGAAAACTGGGTATTTCGGAAGCAGAGGCATCAGTTCTAGCATCTTCTCAGCACCTGACTTTGGAAGCATAGCCATGGGATTATTTTACTTTGAATTCTAAGTACATAATGCTAAACAAAGACGACAATCCCAGTTAACACAACTACATGCATTTCTGCATGCAACTAGTAGAATGGCATTATTCTTAGAAAATGTATTAAGGATAATTGATACACATACTCTACTATCACTCACAGAGTATGGGAGGATAAACTTACTAATAATGTCAAAGAAGTACTTTCAGCTCGTACTGATGAAAGAATAAAAAGCAACCAAATACCACCTAACCAGGCCTGTTGATCAGCCCCACCAAGCTGACCAATCGTAAGTATTTTGTATTAACTTTTATAATAAAAACCATATTGCATCAGTACATTTACGGATCTAGCCCTGAGTTTCCAAAAACTTTTTGAATCGGGGTCTTAGGATTTCATGTTGTGTTGGAATACAGGTCGAACCACTAATAATTCATTTATTTAATGATTGTGAGGAACTTTTCACATGAAACAACATTATACAAGATAAAGTATTTAATATTGTAAACCAGTGCACTAGAATACAGTTAGTGCTCACCTATTAAGAATACGAGACATAATGGAGCTTGTATAAAATGAAAACAGATATTCTAAAATATAGGAAGATTAGGGTACAATTTACAGGAATATTTACATTTCAAAAACTTGGAAACACATTTCTTCAGAGAGCAGAAGAGACTAAGCACTAGCAGGCAAAACAGCATTTCATGAAAATACACTGTAATTCACAAGCCATCAAATGCAGATGCTTTCTAATGCAGCCGCAGGTTTTGCTGCAGCCTGGGAATGGCTGGAAATAACAAGAAATAGTTAACCTACAACTTGGATAATCAGCCCATGGACAACCAAGATCTCATGATTATAACCACGTCTAAATAATAGAAGGGAAAAGAATTGACATTATCCTGTAAAAGTGCCAAATATAAACACTTGAAAATTCCAGCAAGTATAAAAACACTGTACAAAGGTCTATAAAACATAACAATCATGCTATTTACAAGGTCTAAACATAATTTTAAACATTTTTCTATACTGTCAATAGCATGGAGTAAAAAGGAAGGCCAATGAAAAGACCTTTTGGTAGTAGAACCCAATACAGTAGCACAAATGTTAAATACTTGGGGCATGATCAAGATTATTGGACAAGGTCCAACAGACTTAAAAACAAAGTTTGAGACTTTTAGCAGCAGTGTGGCCTTCTTACCAAGGGCAATAAGAGAACCACAAGAAATTTTAAATTCTTAATGAGAAGGTAATGCACAGCTAAAAAAAAAAAATTACATCTTTACATAGAGAGAAAAAACTGTCCCTGAATTAGGATCATCAATTCCTTGATATCATTTATATTTACAAATTAAATATTACATAAAGTTCAGAGTCCTATGAGATACTAAACACAGTGAAAATACTACAGATGCCTAGGTATCAGAACTGTAAACACTTGGTCACAGTACACAGGGCAAAGCAGCGTTCCTTTTATGATACAGATGACCAAAAAAGTCTTACAACTGCCAAGTCCCATGATCTGAGGAAAATGGTCACTTGCTCACACTTGCCCAAAACATTCTCTCTGGTGCAAGTGGAAATGAAGGGCTGTATCCTGATACTGTATCCATACAGTAATGCCCACAGGCTACAAATACTTCACTGTTTCATATCTAATGTTACAGCAGCATCCAGAGACCTCAGTGGGCCAATTCTGTGCAAGAGTCATAGTCCTTTGCCAGCATGTAAAAAGCTAGTAACAGAATACTTCTTGCCCTTTTCACTATCTATTTGAGTTCAGATTGCAGAGATACACTCCTGACTATTATTTTAAGGAATAGATTTTAATGTCAGAGGAAAAAATAGGTTTCATTGTTTAGTAAAACACACAATTCAGCAATATACATGGTTCTAGTTAAGCAGAATCACTATTGTCAGAAGCAGGATGGCTGGAGATTGAGCACTGGGCTTTGAGCAAGCTTGAAGCTAGGAGACCTGGCCTCCGTTGTGAAAGATGTACTGCTGTACAGAAGAGGATGAGTAGAACTGTAAGCAGAATCAAAACACTCACAAGGCCCAAAATTAGTAAAAGAAATTAACTATAACATCATTCCAGCAGTTAATTCTTGTAAATGGTGTTTGAATCAGCTGAATCCTAAGTTCATGCTGTCAACGAAGAATGTGAAGCAGCAAATCAGTATCCCTTCATAAGCTCGAAGTGTGATGCTAGGCAAATAGGCACAGATCACACTTAGCAGCTATATTCTCTCAAGACTTTACTCCAAAACCTGAAATGTGCCTTAAATTAGATTGCCAGTTGCCTGACTCCATTAAAATTCCTTTTAGCTGATAATAAATCATTTCCATAGTAACATCACATTTCTGACATCCAGTATCTTCCATATAAATTTTGCCTGGGACTTGTTGCCTAGTGAATATCAGCTTGATCAATATTACTGACAGCAGGTTCCTTTTTCTTACTAAGGAAAACATTCTCATAAATTCAGTCTCCCATAATAGTCTTCTTCCTCTCACCAGCACCTTTAACATAATGCACACTCTCACGGAGTCAAAACTTGTTCCTTGTGCCTTCTCAGAAATAGAGACCTCTGAGAAAGTTTGCTCAAGGTTTTTACTAAAAAACTAAATAAAAAATTGCATAAGGCTTTATAGTTCATTATATTATTGATGCAGTATAAACTACAGAATGCAATTTTAATAACATTTTGGTAATCCAAAGCATGTGTGAGATCTGCCACTACAGGTTAGATGTCCGTAACAATCCTCCCCACAAGTAGAAATATTATTTCACCTTATCCAGAGCACCCTGTTTTCCATGACACTCCCAAAACCATTCTAGAAATCACTGGAAATGTCCGGTTTTCATGACTGGTGAGCAAGTTCAAAGGAGGGCTGATTTTCAAGTACAGTGACTTAGCAGTTTTAAGGCACTTTCAAAGGGGCTGCTTTTCACAGTTTCATTCTATTTAAAATCACTAGTCACTTCTGAAAGGGTTTGCTTATGTATTTTTAAGGCTGCTAATATAGTCCTGACATCACCTAAGTAGTCCTGGACTGTTGGAACACCAGTATCAGTATTCATTATCAAAAATACTCATTATATGAACAGCCTTTATTAGTTTATTGTAACAGCATGCACATGCACCTACAACCTTTCTCCTCAGTGTAGACGTTGAGAGTGTGACTTCATTAAAGCAGAGGAGTGGAAATGGGGATATCTAGGTGTTATTTCTGATACTGTTGCTCCATTAGAAATGCTGTATACTGTACAACTGAGTGACAATTTACCCATATTGTTGACACTTCTAGCTACAGAAATCCTCATGGAGAATTTCAATTTCATTTTCATTATGTTGATTTTAAGATACACTTCAAATTACCGCTGTGTAAATGAGGTAAGATTCAAGCTATTTACTTCAAACAGTCAAGGACAGGCAGAAGTATGTTTTCTTTTGCTACACTGAGCATAATTTGCATTGCTTGCTACCTATGCTGAACCTTACTCTTGGGATATATGGGCAACCTGATGTACGGAATTAAGGTCTCTTCAATTTCTTCATAGGTCTAAGATAAAACTACTTTCAAGCAATAATTTTTTGTACTTCCAGTCATAAAATTAGGTTTATGAGATAATTAGAAGAACTTATTTTGCTCATTAGAATCCCACTGATTACTACAGTTTCCATTACTCAACAGTGTAGAACATGGATATTTTGTGAAAGCAATGCTAACAGCATATGGATTCCACGCCTAGATTAATAGTAATTCTCTATCAAATAGGTACCAGGCAAAAAAGCCAAATAATTTTTGATTAGACACTACAATCATCATGAATAATAAAAATGTGGGTAGGCCAAACAGGCTAAGCACTGCAGAGAGTAATTTCCCTTCCAACTGAAATAAGCTGAAAAATACAGAGTTTTTGCAATTACTGTAGAGAGGTGCTACAGCTAAAACAACTTGGAGTTTCATGGATATGCTGTCCCTTTACAACATGAATATAACTTTGAACCCTCATCTGATCACTACGGCTATGGCACGCATCAAAATACTGTGTGGCAGAAAATGCATAGCAAAGCAAAAGAAACAAAGTCTGATTCCAAAGCAAGAATGAAAGGCTTGAAGAAAACACAAATATTTAATCTGCACCCCTGTTAGCTACAGAAAGGTAAGGTGGAAATCAATACTCTCAATACAGAAAAAACAAAACCCAAAAGGCTTAAAAGGCTTTTAAGGTGTTGAGGACATGTGTGTACATCAGCATCCATGACGTGTATATACATCGTATTTAAAACTGAGATCTCTAACTTTCTAGGTCCATTCCAACCTTCCAGTTTCAGGTACAGACATCGGAGCTGTGTCACAGAGCAAAGGCTTCTCACACACTGTGTCCAACAGCGCAGAAACCACTAGAAATCTTCAAAGGCTTAGCTGAAGGCAAATGGCATGTGATACCCTGATATCTAGATTTTGAAGTTCAGAAACACAGTATTTGTTTATAGACTCCACCTTGTTAAAATCTAATGCCTCACCCAGCATGGGTATTTTTCTGCAAGGAAGACTGACAACCAGACTTGAAGGAGTCAGATAAGCCTCACTATCACTCTGGAAAACAGACAAGCAGGGTTAAATTTTGTGCTGCCTTTAAAAATTTGGCATGGCTTACGTTCTTCACCAGTATGATTAAAGGCTCAATCTATTTACCAGTGTTAAGGATGAACAAAACCCTGAAATAACCTTAATTTAAGACACCGAACAGAGTCTGAACACATCTATATGCTTCAC